GTGTTTAAGTAGTGGTGATCTCTTCACTAGGACTACTTGTCACCAATAATATTTTGCAACATGCGGAATTGTTGTAGTTTTTTAGAGCAATGCAAACCACCTTTATTGAACCAGTAAAGCAGGACTATAATTACCATAAAGCACTGCCAATGAGATTATGAGAGGCCGGTGAGCTGTTTGACCAGCACCATCTTTGCATATTGCTATTGGCTTGTCTAGAGCATCTCTCTAACGGAACTCTTAAAACTCATGCTAAGCTCTTTGCGTAATCTCTGTAGTGCAACTGCACAGGACAATATGTCGAACTGAAATTCAGAATCCTTACGAGTTTTAAGTGTACATGTATTTCTTTTTGTTGGGTAATTCAAAACTGTTATACATGCAACGCATGCTTTTATGATGCAGGATCATTCCTTTTCTCAACCGTCCATTTTTCCTATATCACGAGGGAACTATTTTCAGATCTTTGAATCAATACCCTCATTGCATGTTCATAGTACTATCTGTTTGTAGTGATAGCTTATATCCTTACTTTTCAGACGGGTGCAAAGAAGGTTTATAGGAAGTTCAAGCATTTTAAGGGTACCACAGTCGATCAGACATGCAGATCCGTGACATATCGATGTTGTCTTTGTGGGGTGTCATCAAATTCGTTCCAGTTGTTGCCCACTGAAGAGCAAGAGAGGGGAAAACCTTGTGTGAAAAATTCAAACTTGAACTTACCTGCCGAGGTCAACTAGCTGTCATTTGGTTCTTTGCTTACTATTATCGTCACTAAATTATTCTAATCTACTAATTTAGTTGTGCTCACTGAATACAGGAATGTGCTGCTGCTTTTGTATTTTTCAAAACGCGGTATGCAGCGCTAATTGTATCCAAAATTCTCCAGACATCCAATCCTATGAAATGGGTCACTAGTCTGGCCCCAGAACCTAAAGACATGTACTGGTCAAATCTTTGGTTACCGTACAAGCAGCTTTGGATTCGCCGCATAGCTACACTTCTTGGTTCTATTGTTTTTATGTTCATTTTTCTTGTACCTGTGACATTTATACAAGGTCTAACTCAGCTGGAACAGCTGCAACAAAGGCTCCCTTTCCTGAAAGGGTTATTGAAAGGGTAAGTAATCTTAATGCTTATAACTCACCTGTTATTATTAAATGCAGGGTCTAACTCAGCCGGAGCAGCTGCAGCAAAGGATCCCTAAATCTGTATTGACAATACAATGTGCATTAATCAAAATCACTCAATTTGTTAGTAGGATTTAATCTAGGGTTGAGTATCCGAGATAACATTCAATTATGAGGCCTTCCCTTTCTCTAAAAAAGCTATCACAATTATGGCGGTGGTTCAAATTAATAGGTATAGTTTTGAGGCATATAATTCATATTTTGTCGGTCCAGTTCATGATCTAGGAATGCGCGCGTGCCTTATAAACCGGACGGGTGGGAGTACTGAAGTGTGGAGATATTGCAGTATTTAATTCATCATTACAGCAAAATTTAACGATTATTAATTCTCCTGCAGGAAAATCATGACCCAGCTAGTAACTGGATACCTTCCCAGTGTGATCTTGCAAATATTTTTATATACTGTCCCCCCAACCATGATGATGTTTGCGACACTAGAGGGACCTATTTCTCACAGTGAAAGGAAGAAAAGTGCCTGTTGTAAAGTATTATACTTCACCATTTGGAATGTCTTCTTCGTCAATGTCCTATCAGGTTCTGCAATTAACCAACTGAATGCCTTGTCAAGACCAAAGGACATTCCAATGGAGCTTGCCAGGGCAATTCCTTTACAGGTGAATCACATGTTTATGTTCTGTTGTTTATGAAGATGCAAAATATAAATATTTAACTAGGTATATACAGTGCATTTTATTGATGACTTCTGTTTTACTTCCATTTCAGGCCACCTTCTTTACCACCTATGTTCTGACCTCAGGATGGGCTAGTCTGTCATCCCAAGTTATGCAACTCTTTGGTCTTATTTGGAACTTTGTAAGGAAATATATTCTGAGAATGAAAGAAGATAGCGATTGGGTCCTCTCGTTTCCGTATCACACTGAACTACCAAAAGTTCTGTTGTTTGGACTATTGGGCTTCACATGCTCTGTGCTAGCACCTCTCATCCTGCCCTTTTTACTACTCTACTTCTTTCTTGCCTACATTGTGTACCGAAATCAGGTGAGTAACTAGATATAAACTTCAAACATTTAATTTGTTTGTAAACGAACTTCTTATTTGAACTCCACATGCATAATTTGGTCTATAATTATGAATAAAGTAAAAAAGAAATATGTTGGAATGTGTATGTGATCATTTTGTCTGAAATTGTTCTTTTATAATGGGCGGAATTTGAATTTCATAAATCCTCATGTGCTAGCTCCATTTTTAGGTGAAATGCAATCTTTGTCTTGGATATACCATTTGATATGTTTTCTCTGGTCTTGTATAACTTTATTGTGGTTAGATATCTTTTACTTAGTTATTTAACCTGAGTTTTAGGATAACTCAAACCGTTTTCCTAGTTTGTGATTTTGTTTACACTACAAAATATTCGTGGAAGAATGTCCTCTGTGCTCCTATAACCTAATGGGTTGGTAATTTATCATTTTCAGTTCATCAATGTTTATTGCACAAGATACGACACTGGTGGTCTATATTGGCCAATTGCGTACAATGCGACAATATTCTCTCTGGTGCTCACCCAGATCATCTGCCTTGGTGTCTTTGGCCTTAAAGAATCCCCGGTAGCTGCAGGCTTCACTGTACCACTTATCATCATCACTCTTTTATTCAACCAGTATTGTAGAATGCGTCTTCTGCCGTTATTCAGGACTTTCCCTGCACAGGTTAATATGATTTCTTTAACAATTGGTAGAATGCGTTTTCTGCCGTTATAGAAGGCTCCATGGAGAACTTATTATTCATCTTAGTGTCACTTGCCATTATTTGTTGTTGGACACGCACAGGTTTTGATAGACATGGACAGAGAAGACGAGCAATCAGGTAGAATGGAGCAGATTCACGAGGGCCTTCATTCTGCTTACTGTCAGTCCACCGACACGGAATCCGCCGATGACATATCTTTGGAAAAAGTTCCAGCTATCAGTACAACAGATGAAGATGGCAGCGGCAGCTCAGGTGAACCTAGTGGCAAAGAAAGTGTCGGACAACCAGTAACCGACTTGTCTCACCCGACACTGAAAGGGCTCCCTGTTGATCGGTTACGGCGCGCGGTGAGATCACTCGGTTTCATGATCGGGCTGCAGAAGAGAGGCGTGTCGGCGTAAGCCGTGGTTGGTGAATGTACATACTGCATACAATGTGCACATAGAACAACACAGAGAGACCAAGATACACACATACGGACATTACGCTGCTCCAAGGAAAAAAAGAAATGGAGTGTCGCCTGTTTTTCTTCTCTTTCGAAAGTCGATGTGTTTGCCTGTTTGGTTGCGAGGGTGCAATTTTGTGTTTAAATCGACGCTTACGCGACTTTTCAGGCCATTTTTGGCCATGCACGGACCCTTGAATTGCTTGCTGCATTGTAACCTCAGTTAAACAAGTTGTTGTGCAAGAAAGCAATCCATCCATGTCTACATGTGGCTTTGTTTTGTTCGACTGTTATGTGCCCCTGAAATATATGTACCATGCTTTTACAGCGAGGAATACATCCGTTTCCGCGGCGAGTAATTCTGGACGGAGGGGGTATAATTTTGAGTTGTGAAACTGAATAGCCGTCGGCGGAGACGCCCGGCCAGTCGCGGCAGGCGCAGTGCTGGCCGTCGGGGCTCTGCCGGTGCACGGACGCCACGTGGACTTGCCGCACGTGCCGCACTTCACCTGGTAGCACATCGTCGCGCTCGCTCGGTCGATTGCTCTGTTGCTGGCTCTCTGGTGGTGATGGATGGATGGATGGATGGAGTCCGTGGGTTGAAGACGACTCGCTGGCTGCCTGCGCTATTTATGGACGGGCGGACGGCTTTTCGCCTTTTGCTTTGGCCTGCTGCCCGGTTTAGTTTGACGGCTCCGTTAACGTTCCTGCCTCTGCACAAGAATTTGACTTTCTTCTCTTTTGGCCAAGAAGCAGCAGCAGCAGAAGAATTGAAACGATCCCGTGAAACAAGGCATTAGTGTGGTGGGCTGGCCTCGTTCAGATTCGGTTCCATCAACGACCTCGTGCTTTCACGCCAATAATGACTATATATGTATTTCACTTTAATTCAATTACATTAGTGGCTTGATTTTGAGATTGATTTAGCGATGGGTTTTCAAATGATTTTTGCACCAATGGCTGCGTCCCAACAACGACTACATACGCATAATATTAAAAACAACTATGTAGGCATTTCTCTTTAATTTACTGCATTTATGGTTTGATTTTTAAATTGATCCAACGCTTGGCTTTTAAATTATTTGACAGTAACGACTGCGTCCCAACAACGACTACCTACGCATTTCCCCTTTAGGCCTCCTTTGGTTTGGAGGAATTATGTAGGATCTTCAGAGGATATCATTTCTATATAAAAAAAAATTCATTTAGAGCCCTTTGGTGTGCAGGAATAGAATTCTATTCCTATGAAGGAATTCTTCACATTTCATAGAAAAATAAACATTACCTTGGACTTAATGATTTTCTTTTTATGATGTGAACCGAAGAACGTCTACTTTCCTATTCCTATTCATAAGATTTGAGATACATATCATCTCATTTTCTGTGAGTTTTTTATTCCTATGATTTTCTTATCTTATAAACCAAAGAAAGCCTTTCCGCAAAAAAAAAAACAAAAACAAAGAAAGCCTAATACAGTAATAAAAATTTATGGAGAGGAGACACACTGGGAATCAATTTTTGTTGCTGCTCAAACCACCTTTTATTCATAAATATGTAGCCCCAAGGAGTGGGGTGTCACTACAGATGGCTCCAAGAAATGTGAGCTCGAGTAACTACGGAGAGCCCCAAGAACAGGGGTGCGAGTGCGACAAATCGACCTAGGGGTTAGCAACCAGCAGGCCCAGCCGGAAAGCCAAAAAGCTCCGGTGGCCATCGGTGTAGATCATGCCGTACATGGACGGCGACTCGCCTTGGATGGGAATCATCTTGCTACGGCAGTCGTCGAGGCGCATGATGGCGTCCGAGTACACTGCCTCGAATGTCTTGAGGTCGCAATCGGAGTTGTCCTCCAGCAATGTCTTGATCTCCTTGAAGCGAATTTGCGCATGGTAGTAGTACTGTGTACAGAATAACATAGCCTCCTTCATGCGGTCGGATCCCGACCGCAGCATCTTATTGATTGCCACGCCAGTGGCCGCGTAGGACTCGAGGACTGCGCCGGCGGCAGTGAGCGCGTGGCTGCGTACGTCACCCCTATCCGGTGAGCCCGCAAGCATCTGGACGCAGATGTCGTACAGGAGCTTGCTGGTGCTCGCCTGACGGCAGGCCGCAGTGGACGTCGCTCGGACGTCCTTGCACTTGTCGGCCTCGGCCCCGGCGACGAACAGGAAGAGCAGGGTCAGAGACAAGGCACCGGTCTTGTCCATGGGGAATCTTGGAAGTACTGGTGCAACTGGGAAGGATACTGTGTATGTACTACTACGGGCAGGACGAGGTGAACTGTGTAGGGTGCTGTATATAAAGACGGCAAAGACTTGCATCTACCGTCCGTCTTTCATCCAACGACATGGTGTCCTGCTGCTGACTAAGGATGACAATTTCCTTTTTTTTTTTACATTAATGGCTGATTACCAACAATGACTATGTACGCATTCTCTTTAACAGTAGTGATTTAATAGTAGAGTAATGTCTGCGTCCCAACAACGACTACATACACGTTTCCCTTTAATTTAACTGCATTAATAGCTTGATTTTCAAATTGATTCAATGCTTGATTTTCAATTTTTTTCGCATTAATGACTGCGTCCCAAGAACAACTATGTGCACATTCCCTATAATAGTACAGATTCATGATTGCGTCCCAACAACGGCTACATACATATTTTTCTTCAATTTAATTGCATTAATGGCTTGATTTTCAAATTGATTTATGCTTGGTTTCATTTTTTTTTTGCATTAATGACTGCATCGCAACAACGATTACGTACATATTTCGCTTTAAGTTAGTTACATTAATGGGTTGATTTTCAAACTAATTTAGCGCTTGATTTTCAAATTATTTTTGCATAATGGTTGCGTCCCAACGACGACTGCATACGTATAACATTAAAAAACGACTACACATGCATTTCCATTTAATTTTACTGCATTAATGACTTGATTTTAAAATTGATTCAACAGTTGGCTTTAAGTTATTTTTACATTACTGACTGCGTACCAACAATGACTACCTACGCATCCCCCTTTAGGCCTCCTTTGGGTTGGAGGAATTTTGTAGGATTTTCAGAGGATATATAGGATTTTTATATAAAAAAAATCCTTTAGAGGCATTTGGTTTGTATGAATAGAATCCTATTCCCATTAAGGAATTGTTCTTATGCTCCACATTTCATAAACATTAGCTTAGACTTAATGAAAAAAAAAGTCTTATGATGTGAACCAAAAAGTGTCTACATATTCCTATTTATAAGATTTGAGATACACACCATCTTATTTGCTGTGAAGTTTATATTCCTATTATTTTCTTATCATATGAACCAAAGTGTTAGAGTTGTGTCGAATATAGTGTACACGGTAGGTTGCATTTGGACTTGTAGTTGTATTGTGTTTAGATAGGACATGGAGTCGTGTCCAAGTAGGACACTTGTATCCTAGGCCTCTCATCTAGAGCGGGGGTTAGACACACGATGTAACCTATGCCAACATAATAGCACCGAAACACAGGGGAAGCCGGCGGCATGTGCCGGTGTCCAGGGCGACCAAGTGCGGTATTGTAGCGGTGTCATGGGGAGAAGCGCCCATAGTCAGGCCCCGGGGATGTAGCCATATCGGTGAACCTCGTTAACAAATCTCGGTGTCGTGCTCGTGTGATTGCTTGGTCATCGGATGATCGACGATATGCCTCGGATTTATTCTAACAAAGTGGTATCAGCGCTAGGTTGTTCGAGGTCTCGGTGGATTGTTGATCTAGAGGGGAAGAAAATATCCATGAAATTCTCCGGGAAGCGATCGTGGGAGCGGAAGTGAATCGACAAAACATCGTGGATGAGTTGCTGCAGAGCGATCCGCAAGTAGATGGATTCGTGGTGGAAATCTTCAGGAAGCAATCGAAGCTGGTGGCGGCGTGTTCCAGAGGATTCGGCGAGATTGAATCGTGCCGAGGTAGCGTGCGGCAACAGGACTGAGCGTGGGTGTCGAGAGCTCCTATTCGGCGCGTTAAGCGTCGAAACAGTTCCCGGGCGCCTGAAGGAGACCTCTAGTGGGCCGGCCCAGTAAACTTCGCTCGCTCGATCGCCTCTCAGGTCTCAGCGAACTAAAAAAAAGGTATGCTGGGAGCGGGATTCAAACTCGGGATCTCTTGCTTAAGATAGGGGTGCATGACCCTAGTAGAAAAAGGACCTAATATGAGACACATTAGTGCCGGTTTAGTTTTGAGCCGGCACTAATGTGTCCAATAGTGTCGGTTCCAACGGCTAGCCGGCCGTTCTCATTAGTACCGGTTCGTGGCGAACTTATAGTACCGGTTCGTGTCATGAACCGGTACTAAAGAGGGTGGTGGCAGGGTGTTGTCAGTCTGGGGCCCCTCCAGCACCT